TCACCAATGTTCTGTGGTTTTCAGTGTACAAGTCTTGCACATCTTTTATGAAGTTTGTTCCTAAGCATTTCATTAAACTTTAATGCTATTGTAAATTACTTGCTTTTTCAACTTCTGACTAGTATACAGAAATACAACTGATTTTTATATACTGAACTAGCTCACTTATTAGTTCTAATGGATTGTTGTAATTTCTTTGGTTTTTTTTTTTTTTTTTTACATGGATGATCATGTCATCTGTGAATAAAAACAGTTTTACTTTTCCTTTTTCAGTCTGAATATCTTTTACTTCTTTTTCTTGCTTTATTGCACTGGCTAGGACCTCCAATACAATGTTAATAGGAGTGAGAAGGTAAATCTGGTCACTATAACTCCATTATGGCCAAAAGCAGAAGACTCTTTCGATGTTTTAAAGTGTGTATTGTATGTTTAGATCTTTAAGCTACCTGGAATTTAGAAATGAATATAAAATAGACATCTAAAATGACCTATTTCTATATGGATAGCCAATTGTCCCAGCATTACTTACTCAATTCTTTCTGCATCCACTTATAATATGCCACCTTTGTCATCAAGTCCCCACATGTATATGTTTTAATTTCTAAACTACCTGGTCTACTCATCTACTGTGAACCAACACCAATACCAAGATCTTGCTGAGGAATCCTATCCATTTCATGATTTTAAATAACTCTATGTGCTAACAATTCCCAAATTTCTATCTCCACCTAGACTTTGCCCCTTAACTCAAATTACTTGGTTTGTGTAACAGATATTTAAAATTTTAAATGTCTTAGAAAATCATACTCCTAATTCTCAGCAATTGATAACCTACTCTTCCTGCAGCTTTCCCTTTCTCAGAAACTGGAAACTGTGTTCTTCCAGGTCCTCAAGTCAAACAGTCAAGTCATCCTTGACTCCTGTCTTTCTCTCATACCTTACATCCAAGCCATCAGAAAATCCTGACCACTCTACCTTCCAAATGTATAAAAAGCTCAACCACTTAACAAACATCTTTATTGCCACTGTCCTGATCCAAGCCAACATTACCTCTCATCTGGATTATTCCAAGCCTCTTAACTGCTATCCTTTCTTCTTCCTTGCTCTCCTACAGTGCACTCTACTCACAACAAGAGTGATCATTTTTACAATGTAAGTCAGATCACATCACTGCTGTACTGTAAACCCTTCCACAACTTCCCATTTCACATGGATATAAGCTCCATGAAAACAGGGACTTGCCTGTTTTTGTTTTCTTTGCTGCTCTTGATCCCTAGTCCCTGGAACAGTACCTGGCACATAAGCACTCAATAAATATTTGTGGAACGAATGTATGTTTCCATTACCATAGGTTCACAATTAGTCTTTTTATCCAGCAAGGCAAACCCCACCCCCAACCCTGCTTCTATTCTCCTTTAAAATTCTCAGCCCTTGATTCTTCTATATAAATTTAGAATCAGCTAGTCAAGTTCTGCGGAACCCTTGAGGGTCCTTCAGTTATGACTAAGCATCCTTCATCAAACGTGTTCCTACTTATTTTGTTTTTGCTATTACCATAAACATTGCCTTTTTTAAAATTACATTTTCTAACTGTCACAATTAAATCATCAAGTTCTTTTTCTACTGCCTTGTTCTTCCTTAACGGAAAACATGCTTAAATTTTCCTTCGCCTAAAAAAAACCTCCACTTGGCCATGGAACCATCCCTTCTGTTCTTAAATAAAAGTAGTTAAGTAGTACTATTTCAGCTTCCTCATTTACCACTCAATCCTTAACCCCTAACCTAGCTTTTGCCCAACTCCCCAGTAGAAACTGCTCTGTCAGAAATGACCACTGGGAATTGAGTCACTGAATTCCACAGACTTTTCTCAGTGTTTATCTTCTTCAGTCTAAGTTACACATGACACAGCAACATCCTTCCCCTTTACTCTGCATTTTCTCTTTTCTTTTCACTTCCATAGAACTCATATTTCTCTCATTTCTCCTTCTCCCTCTGCCAATTTCTCTTCTAACTTTTATTCCAGGAAAAATCTATATCTGTCTCGTAGATATAGAGAAAGCCTCTCTGAGCAAGCAGAGTTTGAGCTAGTTCTTGAAGGGAGACTAGGATTTATCAGACAAACAAGCAGGAAAAGAGCATTTTTCAGAGAGAGAATAGCGTATGCAAGGTAAGGACAGCACGGTTAATCGCAGAGCCTCAAACAGTTTGGTACGTCTAGAGCTTCACTGTCCAGTATGGTAGACTTTAATCCCATGTGGCTATTCAGTACTTGAAATGTGGCTAGTCTAAATTCAGATATGCCATAAGTGTAGAATACACACCAGATTTCAAAGACTTTGTACCAAAAAAGGAATGTAAAACTCATTGACAATTTTTTTCACTGATTACATGTTGAAATGGTATTTTGGATATAGTGCTTTAAATAAAATACATTATTAAAATTAATTTCACCTGTTTCTTTTTACTTATTAATGTGGCCTCTATAACACTTAAAATTACATATGTGACTCCCATTATATTTCTACTGAACAGTGACAGTCTACAGAAAAAGGGCCAGTCAAGGAAGAAAAGCAGGAGATTCTATAATAAATTTCCTTTCTCCTTTCTACTCCTATTGACAAAGTTCAGGTCCTAATTACCTCTCACCTAAAACCATATCAACAGCCCCACTGGTCCCTCTGTACAGTTGTGGGCCTGTCAGAACCTATCCTATTAACTACACTAATTACTGTAAAGCACCTCCTCCCTCTACTGCGCACTTATTTCTCTTCAGAGTTCCTGTGACCTTCCAAATTAAGAAATAAAACAGCATGGCATTTCACGGCTTTCCACTATTCGAAGGTACTTCAAAAAGCCCATGGATGGGCCGGCCCATGGCTCACTCGGGAGAGTGCGGCACTGGGAGTACTGAGGCCGCGGGTTCAGATCCTATACAGGGATGACCGATACGCTCGCTGGTTGAGCACGGTGCGGACCACGGACCACACCGTGCCGAGGGTTGCGATCCCCTTACCGGTCCCCCCCCCCCCCAAAAAAAAAAAAAAAAAAAAGCTCATGGATAAATGGAATTAAAAGACAGCATGAATCCTTCCACGAACTTTTTGAAGACCCCTTTTCTAACCTGTACTTATAGGATTACCCACCGCTGCTCCCCTTCATGTGCCCTTGGATGTGCCAAACTGGGAATGTCACTTAAACTTAACATTTTTCACCTCAATGCCTGTTCTCATAATCTTTCTGCTTAGAACACCCTTTCCCAAATTCCTGCTTATCAAAATCTTACTAGATAATAATGTACTATGTTTATATTAAAAAAAGAAAAAACATAAAGAGGTGACCTTTTGTTGGAGATATAAACTAAAGTATTTAGAGAAGGAAAAATTTTCAAATTCTATTAGGACTTCAGAGTCTATATAAAATACCTATTCCTTCAATAAACTATTTCTAATTACTCCAAATCTTCAACAAACATGCAACCCTTACAAGGTATTATGTGCTATGCATTACTCTAGGTGCTGCGTAAACTAGACGGTAAAATATCAGCCCTGCTTTTAGGAGTTCAGTCTCATGGGAGATTGCTACATATACCAACAATTACCATGGAACGGGATTTTAGGCTCTGATGGAGGTTAACACAGGGTCCTGTGGGACCAATGACAAGTCCTAATCCAGACTGGTGACAAAACAGCGGCAAGCATCCTAAAAAGTGATGTGGAAAGACGCTAACAGCATGTTCCTCCTTTGAGTACCCATGACACTTTTTGCTGCCTCCCTTCTGGTTATCCAATTCTGTTTTTAACACTGCCATGCACATACAGTTTCATTATTTATGGATTCCATATATGCAAACTTGTCTATTGCTAAAATTATTTGTAACCCCAAAATCAGTACTTGTAGCAATTTTTCAGTCATTCATGGACATGCCCCCTAGTGGTGAGAAATGTGAGTTGCCTGGTGCTCGCTCTCCATGCTGAGGCAGAAGGTGATGCTCGGTGTTCTTGTTTTGGCTCCCATACTGTGTCCCAGACAAGTGTCTATGTTGCAGTCTATTTAGCATATTTTTCACATTTTTGTGCTTTCTCCTGGTGATTTATCTATTTTAAGTGGCCCCCAAAGAGAGAAAGGAAGGAAGGAAAGAAAGACCACAGTAGTGCCATGGTCTAACAGAGGAAGGGAACATTCCTAGGACTACAAAGTGGAATGCGGGGGAGAGGGGGACGGGGAGGGAGGTTGGGAGATAACTGGGTGGGGACAAGGGGTACATGGGTATGTCCCCAGTATGAATCTGGCCCTCACATCATGGGCAGGAGGGGTGACAATTAGCTTTGTATCTGATGAATATTCTTAATAATAAATAAATGAATAAATTAATTAATTAATTAATTTAATTAAAATAAAGTGGCCCCCAACCCTAGTGCTGAAGTGCTGTCTAGTGTTCCTAAGTGCAAGAATGTGCCTTATGGAGAAAATGTGTGTTAGATAAGCTTCATTCAGGCATGAGTTATAGTGCTGTAGGCCATGAGTTCAATGTGAATGAATCAACACTACCATTAAATCAGGTGTTTTTAAATGAAAACACCCATGAAACAAAGTTATGCACTGATCAGTTGATGAAAATGTTGTGACTAGAGGCTCACAGGAACCTAACTCTGTATTTCCCCTAGAAGCAATGGCCCAGTATCCACAATTCAGTGTTGGCAGCAACTTTATAGAATATAACTACTGCAAATAATGAGAATCAACACTTATCTTTACACCGAGAGGGTAAAATCTACCTTAGTCATTGCTAATGCCTCCTATGGAGTAGACAGGCATAATTAAATATTTAAGTCTTAACTGAGAAGGAATTAGGAAGTTTATCTTTCTTTTGGGTAAATGTCTTGGTTTCAAAATTAAATAGGGACCACACAGGCTGGAAATTAAAATAAAAAGTTTTATATAACATTAACTTAATTTTATGGCTTCAAAATGACCACAACGGCTTTCATCAACATGCTTACCATTTTTGTTCTTCAGGTTAGGGTCGGCTCCACTTTTTAGTAGTTTTAAGGCACACTGCTTATGGGCCCGGTAAGCTGCACAGTGCAAGGGTGTATTTCCTAACTGATCCGAACAGTTAACATCAGGAGGATTGGGCCTGTTGAGCTAACAATTAAAGAAATGCAATGCAGAAATTATATGTCAAAGACACACTTTCTCCCCTAACACACAGCAAGGAGCTTCAGGAGGGCCTGAAGAGCAGCCAGGCTCCTGGGCACCCAGACTGTCGGTGACTTCTTGCTCACTATGTCAGCCAGCCCTGCACTTTTCGTGTTTGTCCTCAAGGTGCCACAAGATCCCAGGCCCGTATCTGGGTCCCATACTCCCCTAACAGACACCATGTCAGTGCCACCCCATCCACCCCCCTTCAGTAAAATGAAGATTTTACTGAAGTTTACTCGACCTCACCAGTCTTGCAATTCACACTTTTGATGGCAAAATTTCAAATGAGTACAAAACCACAGATCTTCAATGCGTCAATGTCAAAGTTCTACTGAATTTGTTGTTCCCAACTTACTGCTTTAGAAACTTCTTCATATAGTCTCCATCTCACAAAATTTTTAAAATGCTTTAGGTACTATACTTAGAAACCAGAGGCCTTTTCAAATGAGCTGAAATAACTTTAAAGCAAATGTCAATACTATAGTCTTGAATTCAGAACAAATTTAGAGTTTCATGTTTAATGAGACTATGCAGGAAATGGAAACCAGAAAGTAGGTCTCCTAAGAAGAAGAAAAAAGTGGGCAAAGCTTTCAGTCTGCTCTAATGTGATATAAATATTCCAAAATACCATCCCTTCTTTGTATGTTACTTTCTAGAAGTATAGCATTCCTTTCAGAAATTACTGCTCATCAAAATTAGAAACACTTATTATTTTATAGGGTCTTATATACGATGCTCCAATTTTAAATAGGCTTAATTTGAAAAAAGCTTTTGAAGTTGTCCTTACATTAACTATTTGCCAGGAAAACTGGATTCTTACCCATCTGGCTTTCAGTGTGGGCTGGGAATGTAAATCAGAAATTCAGGAAAAACATCACCATTTAAAATGTGTCCTGCTGGGCCAGCCCGGTGGCGCACTCGGTTGAGTGTGGCGCTTGGGAGCGCGGTGGTGCTCCCACCGAGGGTTCGGATCCCATATAGAGACCGGTCCGCTCACTGGCTGAGCGCGGTGCTGGCGCGACACCAAGGGTTGCGATCCCGTTGCCGGTCGCGGTGCAGGAGCGACACCGAGGGTTGCGATCCCGTTACCGGTCACGAAAAAAGACAAAAAAAAAATGTGTCCTGCTAAAACTATTACCATGTTAAGCATTTTAAAATAAGAACTTTCGTTCTATTATTATGATCGCTGGAGTTTTATGGTCCCACAATTTTTACTTAACATTATGTAAAATTTTCCTGAAGTGTAAAGTAAAGAAACATGCTTTTGGGGGGTTGTTTTGTTTTACCAGAGCTGTGAGTTCTGCTGTTTTGCCTTCTCTTGCTGCTGCTAGAAGTAATTCTTCAAGCTTTCTTTGTTGAGTCCTTTCTACAGCTGCAAAAGGAAAGTCCGTATTACTCCACTGCTAGTCGAGATTCTATTAGTAAATTCATTACAAAGAAGTATAAAGAATAAAGTGAGCCTGGCGAGAAAAGTCAAAATGTTTTTAATTATAATTCAAATGCAGATAAACTTTATTGTTATTCTCATTTCCCTATTTCAGATTACAGAATTCAATTTCTCTCAGATTTGGATGAATTTATGTTTTCAATTCAGAGGTCTTTAAATATTTTACTATCATATCCATCACAAAAATTTATGAATTACTTTTACACATTGAAATATTATTACAGGGCCGGCCTGGTGGCGCACTGGAGAGTGCGCCGCTTGGGAGCACGGCGGTGCTCCCGCCGAGGGTTCAGATCCCATGTGGAGACCGGTTCCCGCTCACTGGCTGAGCGCGGTGTGGGCGCAACACCGAGGGTTGCGATCCCGTTACCGGTCAGTAAAAAAAAGACAAAAAGGAAAAAAAAAAAAAGAAATATTATTACATAACTGCCTTGAAAAGCTAGATAAATAGTGTTTATACCTTCCAGAACCTTAGAATATGAAACAAGAAATAGCACTGGTAGGAAGATGTATATACCATATAAATACATGCAGATTTCTATCAATTTACTTACATTCTTCCACATAAAACAAATACTATAACACTATGTGCAGAGTGCTATTCAAAATACTTTAAAAATATTAATTAATTAAATCCTCATAACTACTCTGTGATAGGTATTATTATCCTAATTTTACAGACACACACACAAAAAAAAACCCAGAAGCACCAAAGGTTGAGGAACGTAACCAAGGTCACAAAGCCAGAAAGTGGAGGATCTGGGATTTGAACTTGGGCAGGCTAGTTCCAGCATCCATACTCGTATCATTATGCTTCTTCTCAAATCATACATGCAGGAAAACAACAACTAAAGATCTGATTTGTGTATGAGACTGCAATATGCAAACAAAGTCTCATTTCTGCTAGATCTGAATTGTTTTGGCTCACGGACAGAGAAGCAGGTTGGGGACCGAGGTGACTAAGAAAACAGATAAACATTTATTCAAGCTAGTAATTACTATTACTATGTGCTAACTGCTGTTTGAGACTCTACGCATACAAACACATTTTAAACTACAGGGAACACATATATTGAATACAGGTATAGCTGGACCTAGTTTAGCTTTGTCTTAAGAACTGACTAACATCACTACAGACCATTTGATCTTCTATTCTCACACTTATTTCCACACCCAGACTCACTCTCTACCTTGGGAGAATACAAGCCTCTACATACACTCTTAGCAGTTTTGTCTGTTGCTGGGATTCACTATCTTCAATCTTTCCTCTCAACGGTTCTATGGCCACTGGACTGTGAGCTCTTCGAGAACTGTGATGTCCCAATCCTTCTCTTGTGCACACCTCTACTACTGCACGTATTACCCTGAGCTGTAATTTAGCCCCTGAGTCATTCTTGAAGCCAGGTACCTGTTATTCTTCTGTGTATCCTAGTCATTTGTGACAGTGTCATAAATGAAGGAAAACAGACAGGGATTTGGAATTGAAAACCCTACATATGTTCCTGAACTATGGTCCTGGAAATTTCCTGTCTTGCGTTCATTCAGGACATGAAAGACTGTTGATCCAGCCAATGAAAACAAATATTCCAGTTTGGGGTGGTGGGCTTCTCAAGCACTGGCAGTGTTCTGTTTCCTGATGTGGGTGCTGTTTATATGGATGTGTTTATTTGTGAAAACTGTACATTAATGATGCATACATTAAGGATATATACTTTTCTGCATATATTTTCTATCTCAGTAAATTTTTTAAAGCAAATATCCCAAATCTAAAAAATGATTTGTCCTATAAAATTTTAAATCATTATCACTCTTTAGAGCAGAACCACTCAGTAATGTCACTTCTGCTACTTCCCAGGCTAGGACCATGTCAGCTGATAAGTTATATTACCTATAAAGCCAACTAAGCCCTGGCAGAGTTTGGGTTTTGCAGGGGCCTGAGAGCATGTCTTTACGATTGCCCTAATTAAATGTCAACTTGTCAGACTAACCTAACATTCCAGTCTGTCAGGAAAACCTCAGTTCTGGGTTCTCATCTTCTTATAATAAAAATGATAGGATCAAAGAAAGTACCTCATCCTCCCAATTAGATCACAACTTATTAAACAGCAGGGAGCACATCTAATATGTTCTATGTGTCCCAAAGTCACATAAACAGTGCCTGATAGATGATGTTATGTGTTGACTTGCTTGTTCATTGACAATGAGAGGGTTCATTTTAAATATAGGAGCAACTTAAGACACTGACATAAAGATGTCTGACAAGCAGATGCTATTACTTTGTAATTACAAAACAAGTGAGATTTTGGTTCTCAAGGCCAAATGGAAAATAATGAAAAGAAGGATCTTAGTTTTTACACAGATAAAAATACTAATAATTAAAACTCAGAAATCAGCCCTTTGTCTGTGGGCCCAGCCACAGTGCTGCAGCTCTCCCAGGAGCAAGGGCATCACCCTGCAGGGAGCACCAAAATCGTGACCGGGTTCTTCCCATGTGGCATCAACAGCACTTTATATCAGCATGCATATACGGCTATCTGAAATCTTTACTCGAGTACAGAAATGTGTACTCACTTGGCTTGTAACTACTGATCATGAGCTCATAAAATACCTAAACAATGTGGTAGAACAACTAGAAGATTGGTTATACAAGTGTTCAGTTCAGAAACTGGTGGTGGTCATCTCAAAAACTGAAAGTGGCAAGGACCTGGGAAGACAGCAGTTTGATACTGAGTGTGAAAAGGCTGTAAAAGATGACAGTGCACCCAGAGAAACGTCTCAGAAAGCTGTCCGGGATGAAATCTGTTCAGTGATCAGACAGAACACAGCCACAGCAACATTTCTGCCACTGTTGGAAGATTCTCCTTCATTTGATCTGATTTATACAAAGATTTGATGGTATGTGAAAAATGAGAAGAGTCAGGACCACAGTTCATTACCAACTCTGAAGAAGTCTGTCTGTTCATTTACTACTATAATCCACAAAGTAGCGTGGTGTCTGCAGTGGACTCAACTGTGTCCCTCCAAAGATTAATGTCGGAGGCTTGGTCTCCATCGCGACAGTGTTAAGATGGTGGGAATTCCTATTATCGTAACTGAAAGGTGGGGCCTTGAAGAAGAGGTGGTTAGATTTTAGGACCATGCCGTAGTGAACGGATTAATAATGGTGGTCAGGGGTGTGGTTCTGAGGGCTTTAAAAGGAGAGCAAGTGAGAATCTCTCTCTCTCTGCTCCACCATTTTCTGCCATGTGAAAACCATGCCTTGCTGTAAAGCCGCCACCAAAGAAGACCCTCACCAGATGAGTTCCCTAGACTTTAGACTTCCCAGCCGCAGAAACTGTAAGCAATAAATTTCGTTTTCTTACAAATTACTCAGTTCTAGTTATTTTGTTATGAGCAACAGAAAGGGACTAATACAGTGGCCTACAAAATTCCTGTCAATGACTCAAGATGAGATGAGGAAGAAAATGTAATTGTAATTCTCAAATGTGTTTTTTCTACAACCAAGTTAATTATGGTTGATATGTTTTATTTTATTGGTTAATTTTTAGATGGGGAAAACCAACATGATACTTTATTAAACTATGCATAATTGTTCCATTTTTATTGGAACCTATTTGACTTACCATAGAGTTGACATAACAAATTTATTGCATATCGTTCATAACAAATTTACTGCATATCAGCAGATTTTGTCAGCACTCTAATGTCAATTTCCTTGAAGATGGTAACTGGAGATGGAAAACCTTTTGCTATAAAGCTAAATACTTTCCTAAATCAGACATTTTGGCCAAGTAGCTTGACTCAAATAGGGAGATATTTAAATATAAGATACAGCAAAAGAAGTCTAAATATTCAGAATTTTGGTTCAGATCCTGAAAGTAACTAATAATAATCCATGAGTAATGAAATATTGCTCCATTAGGTTCTTTTGTCATTTATTTCATTGTGTAATTCCCATATTGAATAAATTTCCAATTATTTGATTTTAATTTATATAACTTGAACCTATGAAGCAATGGATATTTCTGTTTAATTTCCTGTAATACAGAACTCTGAAAAATGTTTTTTGTGTGTTTTATAAAATAAAGCTTTAAATGAAAATGAGGAAATAAAGTTAAATTTGTATGTTTAAAAAAAGTAAAATTAAGAAATCAACACCCTTTAAATATAAAATTATATTACCCTTCTCCAAACTGCAAAGGAAAGAAACACGAGATGTGTGTGAAACTGCATCTCTAATTCAGTATCTTTATTCATAAAATCAAAATTATGGATTTTCTCTTCTTTACATTAGAAATACTACAAAAAATCATTAAAGCAAAGCCTTGGCCATTTGGAGAATAAGCCTATTGCATGAGGGTTTCCCAACATAACCATCAAAATGTTTTTGTTTTAAAACTATTTTAGACAAATTGCTCTGAGTTATTGCAGACTCCTTTGTCTTAAGTACAACTTAATCTTTGATACTGAAAACAATGAAGGTGAACCATCAAGAAATTACTGTCCCCTGTTACACTACAACGAAGTTGTCAGGAACACTGAGCTGCCAGAGCTATCTTCCCCAATACCAAATGATTCCCAATAGCTGCACCTGTCACGATTTCTCTGTCCTGCACTTCCGTATTCCTTCATTATCATACTTCCTCAGCCCATCAGCCATAGTCCCTCATGTCTCTAATTTTCTAGTTGAGCATTTAAAGAACAAATTTTTATAATTTGCCATAATTTTGTATAATTAATAGCTGAATAGCTCTTTAGTGAGAAAACTCTCATACAGATCATTTTGTGTCTAATCAATAACTCCCAAATGACATTATCGTTTGAGCATAGGCTTATAGTCATCTGTTTCGGTATCTCCGAAGCCATTTCTACTCATATTCTGGACTTTGGCTATAATTAAAGTAAATGCCACTTATGTTATCATCCATAATATTTACCTTCAAGCATGTTTCTAATTTCCTTGTCATGAGTGACTTCCTTTGCTGTCTGTCCACTCCCATTAACAACAGTAGCATCAGCATTATATTCTAAAAGAAGCATTACCAACTCCTAAAAAGAGAGAAATTATTTTTAGCTATTATTAAGCTAAAATTGTATTGCATTACAGTCCTTTTGCAAATTACTAATTGCTACAGAGTATCTACAATAGAAACAGTACTTCGTAAGAATCTTTATATCAGTTATGCCTATAATAAGTGATTAAACTAACTGTGATGATAATTAACAACTGCCTAACCTAAACAACTACCAATCCACAATTAATATACGACCAAATTCTATAACTGATTTTTAAAGTAAATTATCTGGTCATTTTGCCAAAACAATCCATGTGGTCAAATTAAATATGTAAGGAAACAAAGCCCTTATTTCAATTATAGCAGGTAGTACATTCACTTAACATCATTCCTCTATGGCCTGTTGAAAAAAATAATTTCCCCAACAGACCTAGATTTTTAAAAATTGTAACGTTTACAGAAAATAGAGCATTATTTTCTAAAGTGATACAGAATGGGATATATCACTATCAAAGGAATGGTTTATAATGAAGCAATGTACCAAAGTCACTATTGAACAATGGAGAATAAACTACATCATTTATATTACTGTTCTTTTATGAACTTCAAACTAATTGGTAAGATAAATAAGTTCAGAATCACTGGGTCAGTTATACAACTTAACAAGACAGCAGAACTGGAGGAGAAGAATGCAGACAATATGAGAAATTTGACGTTTGATTACCCAGAGATGCCCAGGAGGTAGGAAGGGAATGCCGGCAACACTTGCTGTTGCGTTCTACACTAAGGCAGGCTGAAATACAGTGCTACTCTAACTTCCAGACTGACAGGGCCTCTCGCAGAGAAAGTGATACCCTGTGTCATTACGTGCTATATCATCCCAGGAATTTCATCTTTTCTTTGGGCAATAAAGTTTCCCATATTCTTTTCAAATATTTTTTATAGTAAAAAAATGCTTAAATTAAGTCTAAAAAACACAGGAAAAAGAAAACAATGTACTCATCATCCTAGCCACTATATGACCACTATAAACATTTTAGTATATTACTTTTTAATCATCTTCCCTATGTGTAAGTTAGAGATTTTTTAAAACATAAGTTTGGAGTAGAAGAGGCAGGAGCCAAAGTGTGAGCAGGGTGGGAACTATGGCCAGGATCACCACCCTCGAAGCGGTGAAGTGCAAAAGCCAGGTTCTGCAACAGCAGGCCAATGATGCAGAGTGGGCCAAGCGCCTTCAGCAGGTAGCGGAGGGAGAAAGGCGGGCCCAGGAACAGGCTGAGCCTGAGGTGGCCTCCTTGAACCGTAGGATCCAGCTGGTTGAAGAGGAGCTGGACCGCGCTCAGGAGCACCTGGCCACTGCCCTGCAAAAGCTGGAGGAAGCAGAAAATGCTGCCGATGAGAGTGAGAGAGGTAAGAAGCTTATGGAAAACTGGGCCTTAAAAGATGAAGAAAACATGGAACTCCAGGAAATCCAACTCAAAGAAACTAAGCACATTGCAGAAGAGGCAGATAGGAAGTGTGAAGAGGTTACTGTAAGTTGGTGATTATTGAAGGAGACTTGAAATGCACAGAGGAGGAGCTGAGCTGGCAGAGTCCCGTTGCCGAGAGATGGATGAGCGGATCAGACTGATGGACCAGAACCTGAAGTGTCTGAGTGCTGCTGAAGAGAAGTACTCTCAAAAAGAAGACAAATATGAGGAAGAGATAAAGATTCTTACTGATAAACTCAAGGAGGCAGAGACCCGTCCTGAGCTTGCTGAGAGATCTGTAGCCAAGCTGAAGAAGACAATTGATAATTTGGAAGATAAACTGAAATGCACCAAAGAGGAGCACCTCTGTACACAAAGGATGCTGGACCAGACTCTGCTTGACCCAAACGAGATGCAGAGCACCCCAGTCCCACCCTGCCACTGCTTCTCCCTCTGACCCCAACTCTGCCTGAGGCCAGCCAGCCGCTGGCTGACCTTTAAACTGAGGGCTGATCTTTAAGTGGAAGGCCACCTTCTCCTTTCACTGCCCCCTCCACCCTCCACCCTCCACTCCCCATCCCCTAACCCCCATGCCTTTTTTCACCAAACTGTCTCTGCCTCTTCCCAGAGATTCCAGCTGGGCTAGAGGCTGAGCACCTTTGGGAACAATATTTAAGGGAATGTGAAACAATGCAAAGTGTCTTTAAAAGCATGCTGTGATGTACACATTTTGTAATTACCTTTTTTGTTGTTGTAGCAACCATATGTAAAACATTCCAAATAATTCCACAGTTCTTAAGCAACAATCTAATCCCTTTCTCACTTTTGGAAAGTAACTTTTCGTCTTAATGCATATTGCCCTCTCCATAGAGGAGGGAAAGAGGTGTATGGGCCTGCCTTGCTGAGAGCCAAACAGAGCCCAGGGAAAGACTCCACTCTGGGAAACCTCGTTGCTCTGTACAAAGTACCAGCTAAACCAGAAAGGGTATTTCAGGAAGTGTTAGCCAAAACAAAAACAAAAAACACGCTGTTCAGGTTTTCAACTTTAAGCTAATTTTGAACAACTTTTTTTTCCCCCAACAGAAGTGACCAAATTATGATGGTAAGACCTCAGAGGTCAAATTTTTGTCCCATCTCTACCCCCTTCCCAACTGCTCCACAGAATGGATCATGTGCCCCTTATGTTGAGGTGACCACTTAATTGCTCTCCTGCCTCCTTGAAAGATAGAAAGAAAACTATGTTTTTGCCAATGATTTAGCCATATAAAACACATCGCATCACCCTTTATTGGGTCTGAAGCTGTTGTCTTTAAAAGTGCCATCTCGTTGTGCTTTGTATCAGTCAGTGCTGGAGAAATTTTGAATAGCTTATATACAAAACTTTAAAATTTTTTATGTTATTTTGAAACTTTGCTTCTTTGGGGTAGGGGGACCCTGGCCACACCATCTGGCTGTGAAAGCTCTCTACAGTCTGTGGACTGGCAGCGTGCTGATCTTTTAAAGTTTCTTTCCCTACCCAATCCCCACTCTTTGGTAATGTTTCTGTGAGGTCTGTTAGGTGCACATCCTGCAGCTTACTGGCTTAAAATGTACTCTTTTAGTGTGGTCTCTTTGAGGCCGACTGGGAGAAAGAAAAACCAATAGTGCAACTGTTTTGATACTGAGTATTGACAACTGTCTTTTTGAAATAAAGAACCAGTCCCTCCAAATAAATAAATAAACAAACAAACAAACATAATTTTACTTATATGACATAGCTGTTTTATGTTTATGCCTTTCACCTAATATATATTTTCCAGTATATTATATAGTGTTTACAAACATTTTTCATGGCTGAATATCATTCTACAAATAAAATAAAAATATTTTAAAAATAAAAAATGGTAAAGAAGTCTCCTAATGTTTTAATAAAATGAATTTTATAAATATTTTAGCAATTCCTATCATTTTAAAAGTAACATTTTAGAAGTATTTTCATATTTTACATAAATAGTTCATATTAGTAAAGAAGATAGAACAACCCACAAGATGGTACAAAAAAATTTACAAATCATGTATCTGACAAGAGACTTAAATACTTAGGAATAGACTTAACTACAGAGGTGAAAGACTCGTACACTAAAACCACAAAACTGCTGAAAGAAATAGAAGTTGACATAAATAAAATTGGAAAACATCCTATGATCACGGAAATGGAAAAACTTGATATCAAAAGCAATCTAAAGATTCAATGCAATACCCATCAAGTCCCAATGACAAAGTAATATCTTGTTTCGAGGGAAGGCACCATCCCATCTATATGGGAGGGCTAAATCGCTTGCTTTTCCTCGCCAGCATCTTAACCCTGCAGAAAGAGTTGGAAGGACTGGATGGATCCTCTGGTCAGACCCCATATGAAACACGCCCTCTTTTTATTCCTTTCTGCCTACTCCAAATGCCCCCCCCCACACACACACTCAATCCTCCCTGGATTCTTCCCACACTGAGCTCTTTCACATCCAGGCAGCCTTCCCCAATTTCTCTCAAGGGAGAGGCCCTGGCCTGGGACTTGGGAATCCACCCCAATCTTATTATCTGTCAGAGGCACTCATCCATAATTCCGTGGTTATGAGCTTCTGGGTCCCAGCTGCCAAGACAATTCAATGGGGAAAGGACAGTTTTTTCAAGAAATTATGCTGGGAAAATTGGATATCCACAAGCAAAAGAATGAAGTGGGACCAGTACCTCTGACTCTGACTCCAACCAGGGCCATGGCCTAGAGCAAGTTTCTTAACTTTTCTGGGCCTGTTTCCCCTCTATGGGAAATGGGCAATGTGATAGTGCCTGACTCAAGGGGGACACGAGCCAACCCTGAGAACAAAAGGTGGGGCCAGGTCACCCCTTAGACCCACACCCCCATGGAGAGAACCCAGTTGTAGCACACTTGGGAAAAAAAATCCCAATGATAATCTTTACAGAAATGGACAATCCCATCCTAAAATCTATATAAAATTTCGAAGGATCCCAAATAGTATTTAAAATGAAGAACAAAATTAAAGGACTCACATGCCTGATTTCAAACATTACTACAAAGCTGCAGTAATCAAAACAATGTGGTACAGGCATAAAGACAGGCATACAGACCAATGGGATGGAACAGAAAGCCCAGAAATAAACTCTTGCATATACGGTCAAATGATTTTTGACAAAGCTGCCAAGACCATTCAATGGGGAAAGGACAGTTTTTTCAAAAAATGGTGCTGGGAAAATTGGATATCCACAAGCAAAAGAATGAAGTGGGACCCACACCTTACACTATATACAAAAATTAACTCAAAGTGGTTCAAAGACATCAGAGATAAAACTATAAAACTCTTAGAAAAATGCATAGGAAGAAAGCTTCATGACAATGGATCTGGCAATGATTTTCTGGATGTGACTCCAAAAGCACAGGCAAAAAAAGAAAAAATAATCTTCATCAAAAGTAAAAATTTTTGTACATCAAAGGGCACTATCAAGAGAATGAAAAGTAACACACACAATGGAAGAAAATATTTGCAAATTATATATCTGATAAGGCACTTATGTACAGAATATATAAAGAATTCCTAAAACTCAATAACAAAATAACCAACCAGATTAAAAAATGGACAAAGGACGTGAACAGACATTTCTCAAAAAAAGATAAACGAATGGCCAATAAGCACATGAAGAGATGCTCAACATCACCAATCATTATGGAAATACAAATGAAACCCAGATGAGATATGATTTCACGACCATTAGAATGCCTAAAATTAAAAAGACGGACAAGTGTTGGTGAGGATGTGGAGAAACTGGAATCTTCACACAACGCCAGTGGGAATGTAAAATGGTGTAGCTGCTTTGGAAAAGAGTATGGCAGCTCTGCAAAACACTAAACATAGAGTTACCATATGACCCAGCAGTCCACTCCAAGGTATACACCCAGAGAAATGAAAATTTATGTCAACACAAAAACTTGTACGTGAATGTTCAGAGCAGCATTATTGATAATAGCCAAAAAAGTGGAAACAGCCCAAACATTCATCAACTGGTGAATGCTGTATGTCCATACAATCGAATATTATCTGGCAATAAAAAAGAATGATGTACTGATACATGCTACAACGTGGATGAACTTTGAAAATATCATGCTAAGTGAAAGAAGCCAGTCATACATGGCTTCAAAAAGTTTGTAGAAAAAAATGAAATTAAAAGATAATACAAATCCTTCCGTGAACTTTTTAAAGACCACATATTGTATGATTCATGTAAAATGTCCAGAACAGGCAAATCCATAGATATAGACAGCACATTAGTGGTTACTTGGGGCTGAGAAGAGGGAATAGGGAGTGACTGCTCCAGTACAAGGTTTCCTTTTAGGGTAATAAAAATGTTCTAAAATTGACGGTGTTGATAGCTGCAAGAACCTGTCAACATACTCAAACCATTGAGTTGTACACTTTACATGGGTGAATTGTATGGTATGTGAAATAGACCTCAATAAAGCTGCTTAAAAAATATAGTAGAGATACTCAAATTTGGCACCACATGGCAGACTCAAGGAATGTTATTTCTCAACCTATTAAAACCTCATCTAGTGGCTTTATACCATTTTTTCCAACTGCTCAGAGTTCTAGTAATTTCCCTACTATGAGTTTCAGGAAGGCTATAAAAAACTAATCTGGAATCTGATGGATATAAACCCCAAAGGGCCGTGGAGAATAGTATGTGCAGAGGTACAGAGAAGCACCTTTGTTAAGAAAAGAAAACATACTTCAATAATGTAGAGACAGTGTAGAGGGAGAGAGAAGGGGAATGTAGACTGTGAAGTGACCGTGAAGTTGCCATATGCGATCTCAGGAGAACACGTTTTGCTAAACATGAAGGAACTTCACTGAAAGGTTTCAGAGGAGCGGTATGAGATCTCCAAGTTAGAACGGACACCTAACCACTTTGTGAGGATTTAGAGCAGAGGCTCTTGAAGTGTGAACCCCAGACTTGCAGCACCACCCATGAACTTGGCAGAAATAAACCTTCTGGTGTCTCTCCACATTCTTTTTATTAACTACTCACCTAACTTGCTTAAGTACTTAACACAGCACAAGGCTCTACAGAGAAAACATTTTTAGATGATGAATACTGAAGGGCTGGAGAAAGAGGAAGCTCTGACAAAACTAGAGCAGAGATTAGGATGCTGCTGGGGCACCTCCGTATAACATGGATCTAACATTAGAACAAGTCAGAAAAGTAACTGGAGACAAAGCAGTCTAGGCCAAAAGCAATGGATATGTTCTCAAGTGGAGAGAAGAGAAAAAAGGATTTACAATGAAAACTATTTCAAAGACCAACTCAAATACTGTATAGGGAGTGGGTATGGTGGAAGACAAGTCCCGTTTTAGATACATGAACTTTCAGAGCCCTGAGGGGCAGCCCTAATGCCCAATATGCAGCTGA